CTGCTGCATGTATGGAAGGGTATGGAAATCTATATGGTTTTTAACATACAAGGGAGCAAGAAAACGAGATTTGAAGGTTTCTTGTTTTTCTTTTTTGAGTGTCTTCCAGCGCCTTTTCGGAGGGACGGAAGTTCCGGAAGGATGTTTGATCAAACTTTGGGCGCCATCTCATGTGGGCACACCAACAGCCAATTTCAGCTTCGGGAAAGATGAACAAAACACCGTGTTGGAGGCCATCGCTATTCCCCAGGCTTCCAACCACCATTAATTGAATAGGCTTCCAACCGAATCAACTAAGGATTTTACGCTATGAAAGCCAGGTCAACCATTTTTCTTAATGGTCTTGGAAGTCTTTTGGAGGCCATGAGGTGGAAAGCGCCATGCTCCGTGTCGAAGCTCCTGGACCGACGAGGCGCCTCGACCGAGGATGGTCTCTGTGAGCTTTGCGGGCTTTGGGTGCCAGGAGGGCGCTTTGCTGTCGTTGCGAGCCCGGAGGGAGACTGAGGGGGCTGACGAGGCCGAGTGGAGACAACAAAAGGAAATTCGGAAAGATCCAACTGATAGAAATTATAGACATGTCAAGAAGGATACACTAACATATACTAATATACACTAGACTATATACTATATTTATATATACATCTATATTATGATTGATTTCATATGAGATTGATCTAACTCATGTGATACGATAAGACTCTTTGCATATATCCATTGATTTAATCTCATATATATTGTTATACTTAGCTCTATAGGAGCTTGTTTTGGATGACGCCCCAAGACACCCAGCTTTCCCGGCAGTCCGTTCGACTGGCGGGTCGGAGCGTCCACACAAAGGTCAAGAGGATGGAACGTCGATGGTTGATGGATGGGCCGTAAGGTCAATCTAGGGAGGGTCCACATAAACCACTGTATATGTATTATTAGGTTGATGATGTATTGATATAACTGGTTGATGGGGTCTATATTGGACCCTCCAGCTCCTTCGATGGTTGATTGTGCCATCTACTCTTTGCACCACTGCCAATTGATTAAACAACCTGCGGGTCTTGGGGTAGCAGGCAGGTTTTTGACATTTATTCGGAAAGAGAACGAAACCCCGCTAAGGGAGGCTTGGACAGGGCATGCAAAGGGACAAAAGGTGATCCGTATATTCGTTTGAGGCTCCAAAGGAAAAATATGTTCATCTACAACGCCTGTTTTCCCTCGTGCTACGAATTGTTTGAGAAGGTGTATTTGGGCAAAAGGAGCACCCTGCACCTCTAAACACATAAAGCATGATAGAATCCACCAAGATTTTGGAATATTTGGGATTTGTGACGTATACATACGTATACGATATGCTTTTTAAATGAATATATGTCAATAGGGAATATAGACTTATTTATGTTGGTTTTAGAATATTTTGTCTAATTATTTTTTATACCTAATACGAGGAAAGGACTATTAAGTTAATACACAATTGTAATATACATGAAGTGACAAGGATATTAATGGCATCGGACGATGAATTGAATCTATGTGTTTGCCCTAAATGATGTTATGGATTGTTATGGTATTAAAATGCGAGACAATCATGTTGTCACCATTCATATTAAAATACAGTGATTCATGAATGCTTATTTCCAAAGGGGTGTCACGCCAGCCCCCTTTTTGTTGAGGTGTTGTGGCTTCCGAATCTCACACTGACTGGAACCATCCTGATGTATTTATGATTATTTATGGCCTACACTCTGACACACCAACATGGAAGTGGATAGCATTGAAAGCAAGGCCCCTTGGAAGACTCCTTTCCTCTACAGACACATGTTAGTGAGAATAAACTAGTATATGTACTCAAAATTACTCAAATACCGGAGTCCATTGGCCACCACCGGTTTAGTCAGAGGTTCGGCTTGGCCCACTTGTGCGTCGTGTTCATCACGCTCTTCCTGGCGCGCCCAGAGGGGCGAGAACGGGCCGTTTCTGCACGGACTGAAGTTCCTTCCTTTTTGGCACAATGTTTGTATGTAATGTATGTAATGTATGTATTGTATGTAGTGTATGTAATGTAATGTAATGTAATGTAATGTCATGTAATGTAATGTAATGTAGTGTAGTGTAGTGTAATGTAATGTAATGTAATGTAATGTAATGTATGTATGTATGTATGTGTGCGTGTTTTTATGTATGTAATGTAATGTAATCTAATCTAATCTAATCTAATGTAATGTAATGTAATGAATGTATGTATGTATGTATTAATGTAATGTAATGTAATGTAATGTAATGTAATGTATGTATGTATGTATGTATGTATGTATGTATGTATGTATGGTATTGCATGGTATGTATGGTATGTACGGTATGTATGTATGTATGTATGTATGTATGCATGCATGCATGGATGGATGTATGTATGTATGTATGTAATGTATGTAATGTATCTAATGTATCTAGTGTATGTAATGTATGTAATGTATGTAATGTAATGTAATGTAATGTAATGTAATGTATGTATGTATGTATGTATGTATGTATTAATGTATTAATGTAATGTAATGTAATGTAATGTATGTATGTATGTATTTATGTATGTATGTATGTATGGTATGTATGTATGTATGTATGCATGTATGTATGTACGGTATGTATGTATGGTATGTATGTATGTAAGTAATGTAATGTCATGTCATGTCATGTGATGTCATGTCATGTCATGTAATGTAATGCAATGTATGTATGTATGGTATGGTATGGTATGGTATGTTTTTATGTATGTATGTATGTTTGTATGTATGTAATGTATGTATTTATATATGTATGAATGATTCGATGATTATGTTTGCATGCTTATGTATGTATGATTATGTATGTATGATTATGTATGTATGTATGTTCGTATTGCATTGTATTGTACTGTATAGTAGTGTATTGTATTGTATGTATGCTATGTATGGTATTGCATGGTATGTATGGTATGTATGGTAGGTATGGTAGGTATGTAGTTTATGTAATGTATGTATGTATGTATGTATGTATGTATGTATGTAATGTATGTATGTATGTATGTATGTATGTATGTATGTATGTATGTATGTATGTATGTATGTATGTATGTATGTATGTATGTATGTAATGTTACGTAATGTAATGTAATGTAACGTAATGTATGTTTGTATGTAGTGTATGTAATGTATGAAATGTACATAATGTATGAAATGTTTATAATGATTTATAATGTATATAATGAATGCATATAATGAATGTATGCATGGATGTATGTATGTATGTATTAATGTAATGTAATGTATTTATATAGTGTATGTATGTATGTATGTTTGTATGTATGTAATGTAGTGTAATGTAATCAAGTAAGTAAATATGACATGTTTTTATGTAATGTAATGTAATGCAATGCAATGCAATGGAATGCAATGTAATGTAACGTAATGTATGTATGCATGCATGCATGTATGTATGTATGTATGATGCCTACATCATTGACCACTCCAGCTGATCGGCGAGTTGGGTCGGGGCCGTCAAACACGGGGGTCGTGTCGGTCTGTGTTGTTGTCGTGTCTGCCATGCTGGTCTCATCGTTTGGTCGGCGATTGATGCAGACCCTCCAGGCCATCCTCGTGGAACTCTTCCTCCGCCGGCACATCGATGCCGCTCGGTGATTGGGAGGGAGAAGGGCCGACGGTGGGCCCATGGTCCCCCAGAAGTGGTGGGGCGGAATGCTGATGTTGGGGATGGTTTGGTCATCAGCAACCCAGAGAGGCGGACAAGCTGGGACAGCAAGTGTCTCATTTTGAAGGTACCTTGTCCAGATTGAAGGTGCATGGTCCATGTCCCTGGGCGGTTATCTAAATATATAAAACTTAATACTATATATATATATTATGGCCATCTAAATATATATATATATATAATCTAACATTATATATATAGATATTAATAATATAGCTCTATGCATACACACAAACATATTTGTATATGTTTATATGTAACAGCGAGCGCCTTGTCCCCTCTTTGACGTCAGTCCCTCACCGTCCAACCCTCCAACCCGTCCTGGCCTTCGGCGGTCGTAGAGCCTCACGTGCTTTCTTCACCTCGGTGAAGACCCACTGGTGCGGAAAGAGCCGGTTCAGATGATGTGAAGCGGGTCTTTGAAGAAGAAGAATAGTAATAAATACATAATAAAACAATAACACATTAATTCATTTGTGTTCGTTTCTTTGTTTAATACTTTTCTTGCGCAGGTCTTCCTTGAAGTGGCGCTCGATGTCTCCGGAAACGAGTTGCAGCCCATCCCTTCCACCATGGACGCCTGGCGCATGTGGGTATCAGGAATTGTCTTAGGGGGGCACTAGATGTGGATGTGCATGGCTTTGGGGAAGGATGGGGAAGGTATCCCCAAAATCATGCCTACTAAATGCAAGTTATTGATAGATCGATAGACAGAGAGATGGATAGATGCGAGGAATTCCTATCAATCTTCCTAGCTCATGCGCTCAAGAATACTTCCATTTGTGTGTTGCACCAGTCCTCTTCTCTGTCCTACACGTTTCGACTGTGTACACATACCAATCCAGGGAATGAATCGCCAAGTGACAATCCGATCCACGGCCTTGAAGTTGGCTGACTTGAACAATTGAACATCATCCAACTTGGGGTTCACCGCTGATGTTCAATTGGTTTAATGATTGGTCAATTGATTTATATAATGGTCAATTGGTTTAATGATTGATTGGTCATTCCAGTCACAACTGACAAGGTACGCGCCTCAGTTGAGTGTTCACCACTGGATGGTGCTGGAGTCCGGAGCGTGCGGAGAGAGAGAGAGAGAGAGAGTCGAAAGTTGACGCAACAGTGTGCATCACAAACTGCAACATCGCAGCTTTACTTGAGTCTTCTTTGGAGGCCTCCCCACTTGTTAGAGTTAGAGTCTACAGACACCCTCATTGTGTCTAAGATGTGACCTCAGTGACACATGGAGAGTGGTGCAGCAACGTGCCATGAACCATGGCGCGCATGGACAGTGGCTCCGTGGACAGCGCCCAGAAGCGAGTTCAGTGGGGAGACCACCACGTGGTGTGCGGCAGTTGTTGGAACACTCCCAAAGAGAACCCGCGTCCTGAGGGTCGTTGACGAACTCTATCAAGGTGTTTGCCTTTGGAACGTAAACCCAAAACCTTTTGAGTTTCAAGCATGGAAGTGGAACAGAGTTAGCAACAGGGTGCGACCTTCAGAGGTCAGAGCAAGAAACCTGGGAGTCGACCTTGATTCGGGGCTTAGCCAACAGATTGCATCCCTGGGTCCATGAGAAAGGATGTTTGGAACATGTATGGCATGCTCACGTAGCTTAAAGCAATCCAGATTGAACTTCTTCCGGGGTAACTCCCATGATCCGACATGCACTTGGGCCCTCAACTGGGGCCACCAACTTCTTTTTCATGACGGTTCCTTGCTGGGGAAAACGAGATGGATGTTCAGCCAGATGAGGTTTGTGCGGCTGTTCTTCTTGGAAGAAAAGACTGATGTCTCAACATGTTTCAACACCATGTTCTTTTGAGACCATGTATTGTCACAGCAAAAACCACCGGCCTCCCTGGCGATTCGATTCTTGACGTTGAAGCAAAGAAAGGGCAGCACAGTACTGCTCGTAGGCCGTTTCGAAGAGCGATGTGACGAAGAGCGATGTACTCGTGGGTCCGCTTCGACGTCGAGAGCGTTTCTGAAACCGGATCCACAAAGGGGAAAGCACCCTCTTAACATCCCTCAAGCACGATAGGGTTTGGAAGGGCCCCAGACCGCCCAACAAAAGCGGGCCTCGACCCCGACCTATAGAGCATCCAAGGATTCTTTGGGGGTGAACAGGTGGAGCATAGCGACAACGACTCGTTGGGCTGTGGAGGGCGGCCCGGGCCTGGGTACGAGAGGACGAAGGAGTACACGTCGAAAGACCCAGTAAACCATAGTAAACCATAGTAAACCATTTTTTTTGGTTGTTTCCCTTCCTTTTTCGTGGTGTTTTTGCATGATCAACGTCCAGTCAAGCGAGATCTTTGGCTGGTAGGGAGGGGGAGATGGAAGGAGTACCGGTCTTTTCGGGTCCGAGACGCCCGAGACAGCCCGAGACGCCGAGGCGACAGTGAGGAGCGCACATGGATGGGACTGGCACTGGAAGGGCTCAGGAAGAGCCGAAGTAGTGGTTATAGGGACTGGCCAAAAACTCATCAATGATCATAAATTCATCACCCCCTCCCTTCCAAGCCACCCCCCTCCCAATAGAATCATAAAATAATCATATAAAATCGGCGTTCCTTCCTGTTTCAAACAGTCTTGGGGATGTGGAGCAGAGAAAGAGTTCGGGGCCGAATGAGCAAGTCCACTGTGGTTATGTGTGGTGCTCCCGCCTTGGAGCTGATGGTCCATCAACAGTGGTAGGGTCAGAACCTGTCAGAGACCTCTTGGGCATTCCAATAAGCTGAGAGGGGAAGAGACCTTTGCAACTTTCTTTGCACCAAACGGTTTAAAATGCTTTCTAACACATGTCACCTGAAGTGCAGCAACTAAATTTACCAAATACGGGGAACCTGTTGCAGATATGAGCTGTACTCTAGGAAGAGGTGGTGGCCCCTTTCCAGGCAAGCATCACATAAGTCGTCCGAGTTTCTGCAATTGCGCTCTCCCCAACTGGTCGTCCACACCCCATCGTCATTCTTCGCGTCCTCCGGGCTTTGCAGTCTTCGCTTGGTCTACATCTCTGAAACCATGTCTCGTAATTTTCTTGGTTTCAGACCTTTGACCTAGGGCAATCTGGTGCACCTTTGCTTTACCCGTGACCGGTGGTGGTGTTTGATGCGTCAATTTCACATGCGAAACCACTCGGCAGGATGACCACTTGTTGCCCAGTCGAGTGGTGCGCGCCGCCCAACTTAGACCGTCCAAGAGGAACTGCTTCGCTTGTTTGGGCGCCACCCAGCTGCGCTTCAGGCAGCGCGTGAATGGGGTGAACCTGGGACCGTATGTTGGAGTTTTGTGGTGTGGTCTCATGCTTGTGGAGATGCTGGTGCAAGTGTTGTGAGTGCAGTTGCTGGCATAGGAAATAGATGAACCATGATAGACCTTAGTGTAACACAGCCAGCATGTAGATGAGCTTTGACAGGCTGCTTGGCCTTTGGCTGTAGGCACCTAAGCAAGTTGGTTTTGCCAGGGTTTGTGCCTCCCATGCGGCACACGAAATGGCAATCTTCCTTGCCCAGCCCACACGTTGCCAAGTGTCGATGCTTTGGGGGGAGCAGAGAAATGGTTCTAACCACAAGTATTGTGTGGTTTCATCGTTTGAGGATGCATATGCATTTACCACTGCCAATTAAACATGGAGGGTTGGCCAACCCGCGTCAAGACCGGACATCCCCACAAACCAAGGGTTCGGAGATGATCTAGAGGCCCGTCGGACGAACCAAAGAAAGGGCAAGGCCAAGTCCTATTGTCGTTCACTTCGTCGTTTTTGCGGGGAAGATGTGAGGATCCAAGCAGAGCATCTTCAAGAATGCAGACGGATTCAGATTCTTGTCTTTTCTCCCCACAACATGGGGGGCGTAATGTGGAGCTGCTACCACCGGTCGCCTTTCAACTTCCTGGTTCTTGGATCTAGAGCTCCTTACTCAGGTGGCTTTAGTGGCTGCCATCTGTTTGACGTGCTTGCGAAGCCTTCACCGAGAGCCCCTGGGAAGCTTAGAGTTGTGAGCCTGTGGTGTCACTTGGTTTGGCCGAAAACCTACAGCCAAGGGCTTCAAAGGCCGCTTCGAAGTCAAAACCCTACCCAGTTTTGGGCCGATGTCTGTACCGATCGCAACTCAAATGCCAGCGACAACCCCGCCCCGCCAGCGTAAATTTGAGGTGCATTTGCACTCACGCAGGACTCCGTGACAGTTTTTTCCGGTGATCACTAAGCTGATGCACAGCAAGGATGCCAACACCATGGAGCAGCTCCCCAGAATGTTCCTTCGTTGGGTGGCCTGTTGAATGAACTTGGATAGCCGATCAAACGTAGCAAGCACAAAGAAACACCGAGCCGATGTTGTTCATGAGTGATGACAGTCATGACCAACATGTGGTCCCTGCTCCAGTCCCTTGTGGATCCTTGTTTCGAAGAAACATCGCCCTCGCACCAAGGGCGCTGACGGGCAGCGTGGCGAGAGTACGAGCGGTGGAGGACAGAGGCTGTTTGCAGAGTTTGAGGAGGGTCGTGTCTTACTGATGACTCATGACCAAGAAGCTCCCAACACCCTGTCTTACTGGTATACGTTTCAGACCTCAATAGCTTCCTACCAACTCAGACTTCAGGCTTCAGCATGCAAGAGACAACCATGATATATACCATGTGATCGAAGAAAGCACACATCCTAGAGTCCTATAGAGTCAGAGTCCCTTCTCAGAAGGTGGGCCCTCCGGACCGTCTCCAAACAGAATCGACAGGGCCTTTGGAATAGCCCATGATAGCCCTACACCGACTTCGTCGTACCTCCAAACCGCTTCGGTGTGACTGGACCCTGGCACCCGGGCCCCGGGTCGTCCCACCGAAGCGGTTCGGTACGACAACGAAGGCCGTTCCGGGAGACCCAGGAAGCTGGGAAGGCGAGGTTCGACCACCTCGGCCGCCAGTGCCATGAAGTGGAAAGGGGAAGGAGACCTACATGTCCTGAAAAAGATCATAGAAGTGGAGAAAACCGCCTGTTTGCAGACAAGGGATCATATTCCACTTTGATGATTATGGTACGTATAGGGAGTGTAAACATTGCAGTTTTGAGGCCTTGGTCTTTCTGGGCATGTGCCATCCTGGTGAGTGCAGGAGCTCTACTCCTTTGGCACGCCAGGGGCCACGTAGCCTGGGCCGAAAGTGGGGCGGAGATGGACTCGGAGTCTGGTAGATGGCCCATCCAGTCACCAAAGACTCATTCAGTTTGCATGTTGTATAGCATGGGGATGTTGATGGATTTGTTTGAATTTCGCATGTTTGTTTTGTTTTTTTAGTCCACGGGAATTCTAAAAACCTAAGCTGCGCAAGGTTTAGTCCCACCCCTATGTGGGTATAACTCAAAGACCGACCTGAAAGAGGACCAGACGTATTCATGTTCAATGTTTCCATGTTCAACCATTTTTGGTGCCAATCATGATTCAGCCTACCCATTCTCACAGGCTAGTAGCTGCTACGCAACGTAATCTGCAGTTAACCAATATCGTCACGGATTTGGCTGGGTCATGTTCTGCTTTTGCCGGTGGCTGAAGAGTTTGGCGGCACTAGGACCCCCCCTTCCGACATGGCACAATGACTCCCTGGAGCACTGCAGAGCGCCGAGACCGACCGTTGTAACGGCCTAGGGGCGTAGCGCCGCCCTTTACCTGGTTTCAGTTGCAATCCACTCCTGTTCAAAGAGAATTCCTTTTTTATTTGTTTATCATGTTTTCGGATTCACCCCATTTCACCCCACCGTGACTACAAAGCAAACGACACCTGTTGTATCCCAAGTGTCCACGTGTTGTGCGGCAACTTTTTCTTGCCAGGAAGACCCTCTTGAGCGACATGTCTCGACACGACGGCTGTTTTGGTGGCCTGCGTGTGTACATGAGGAGTGACCGCGTGCAACGTTTGGAGTTGCGGTCCATCGATACGGATGACTGTTTTCACGGCTTGACACCGGCCAGCCCCATCAACTGAGATGGATACATTCCAACATATTCCAACTACATATATGAGGTGGGGTCAAAATAAGTGTAGACTACTTTAGTCAGGAGAGGCCGATGTGAATGGCTTAGGGTGAGGATGTATTGGAAACCGATAAGGTCCCCCAAAAAAACGATAACCTATGTATGATGTTATTATCATTCCTGACAGGTCCTTGCAGTACCTGTTGCATGTCGAATGAAAGCCCCACTGACAGTACCATCAGTACCCTAGTGGGCGGCTTCAGCCACATGCTTTGGAATCAAGATTTATGTTGCTGTTGTGTCTTTCTTTTTCTAATCTGCACCCATTTCTTGAAAAATCCGGATTCTATGTGGGCATTACGCCGATAACGAAACCTATAACTCGCCGATGACCGTTTGGATATGTTTTCGGCTTTCATAGCCACTTGCCCAGAGCCTGCTGACAAGACAGCTAAATTCCCTATCGAAGACATTGGGCTAGCCTTTCTTTTTGAGAACTTACATGTTAGTATTTTACATCCCAGCAAACAGAAGGCCGATAAAGATTAAGATAGAGATAGGTACACCAAATTTTGCAAACCCACTCGAGATTGCAATGCCTTTGTCCGCTGCTGACAAGCGAGCTGTGAACAAGCTCGTCATCCACTGCTTCTGATTTCAGCGAGTAGGTAGCTCCGCTTCATGCATCCACAATGTAAATGCGAATGCCAAAAGCAATTGGGTGAACAAAAAGCTGAAAACCGATAAGGTCTCCCTCACAAACGATAACGATAAAGACAACATCCTTAGCATACATAATTGATGTTGACCGTGGCTCATATATATATATATAACATGATATAACTACTTGAGGACTTACAAGGTTGTTTCCTTCTACAGATAGCTACGCTCTGAAGTTTTTTCACCAGAATCACTGGTGACAATGCGCACATGATGTCAACGTAGCAATCGTTGGAATAATTTTTGTGAACAATTTAGAGGGATTTTAGGTGGCGTGCAGATTGCATATTCCGTGTACTGACGACGGAGAGCAAAAAATATGACCAGTAATTCAAAGTAACAGGGATCAACGCATCTCAGGGGTTTGGTATTTTGCAAAGTGAAGTCCAAATGGCTTAATTTTGACCGAGAGCGCCTTGTGACCAAGAAAGCCTAGTGCAAATCAATAGTTGGCTTCAGCTTTATAATGGTTTGTTTCAGCACCAAAGAAATCAAATCACACCACCAGCACCCCCAAGTTCTTGAATTTCTTTGGTTTGAATACTTTTGGACACCAACATATTATTGTTTATTTATCTATATATATATATAGCTATCTAGGAACATCTAAGAGCACAAAACCGGAAGATCATGGAAGATCGTTTGAGCGATCACTTCACTGATCAACAGCTCCGGTAGCACTTCTTGGTATAGAACCTTACAAATCCATGAAGTCACAGAATTGGTTTAAGGGAACATTTACAGAAAACCCTTGGTTTTGGGCGTGCAACTAATCCATTTGATCACGCCAGCCAGAAGACGATGTTCCTGATTTGCCTATTGAGCTGTTTTCTTTTCGCTCTTTTAGGGTGTCACCACTTGCTACACTTGATGAACTTCAACGGAGCCTTTCTTTTGTTCATCCACACCCACCTATGTCAGGAGTGCTCGGCGCGGATGGGGTGTGGATACTCCCGTTTACGAGACTTGGGAAGGGTCGAATGTCATGGGCAGTATTTGATCGTGAGGGGTTAGAATGATCGTCCAGAGGTGTTGATTGATCGTGACTGATCAACCAGCATTTTTTCCAAAAAGAATAAGAACATGTTTTCTTGATTTGATCTCTTTGTTCTTGATTCTAAGAAGCTAGATCATTTCTGAAATCCAGAAGTCTTCCAACCAGAGGTCTTCCAGTCCAGAAATCAGTCTTGGAAGCATCCATCTTCTTTCCACATCCCGGTGGAACACCACCAGGGCGAAGACGGCCTTCAGATCACCCGCGAAGACGTCCCTGCACCGTCCGAGTGGGTGTCACTTTCGGATCACCAACGGATGTCCATCTCCACATGAATGAAGCAAGTACCGGTCGATTGGTTAGATATCTAAGGCACGCACTCATGGGTCATGGGGCCGTGGGTTAAAAAAATGGAAGTCCCGGACCGTGGCACCGTTTTTAGATGCCGTGATGGGCATCTATGAGGATTTTTGATGCCCAATGTATGTGTTATGTTCCCAATTACTGTGCTGTATGTGCTGTATGACCGCAATTGGTGTGCTGTATGTGCTGTGTTCCCAATTGCGGTTTGTGTTTTTTCCTCAATCACAAGTCACAATTCTTCAGAACGCTCGTGGATGCCTGCGATTGCCAGGCCCCATGCACAGAACCCGTGTCGTAGATCAGATTTACCCTCCCCCTCTCACAAATGGATATGGATGCTCTCCTCTTTGCAGAGGAAAGCATGTTTTTGCAGAGGCTATTGGCCATTGGCCATTGCTATGCTCGTTTCAGGAGTGTACCCACATCATTCAATAGACCCCTTCGCGCCACTCTCCTCGTTTGCGCGAACCTTGGACCTCGCTAAGGATCCTGTGGCATGGATCACGGAGCAGTTCAGCTATCGACATGCCAGGATCGAAGTACTACTTCCACCGGGGTCCCTGGCATGCTTGGCACACTTTGGCTCCTGCACAATGATCAAGAGCACGATTTTCCGACCTTCAAAACAACATGGAATGTACTGTACTTATATAATATGTGTTTGTATCAAGTTGATTTGTACTTTTGTCCTCGGTATCCTTGGAGGAGGAGGCAACACGATCATCGGTTAGATGTGGTCGATGGTGTTGGTCATTGTGGTTCAACCTCAGGGCCCCTCGAGCCCAGTTCCGGAACTGCGCCACCAAGCCATGACGGTCAGCATTTGCGGATGGCCATTGGAGGCAGAATGCCATTGTTCTCATGGTTCTCAAAGGGTGATAGGAAAATAGCGCCCCCCTGAGTTCCAAAGACGGGCCATATATACTGTAAAGTTGAAGAACCATGCGATTGACCTTTCACGAACTGACAGCCGACAGGACAGCAAGGTGGGACGTCACGAGCTCATGTTCCGTGATGTCTCGGTTCGAACCCCGGACCTAGGCCTTGAGCCTCCCGCGAGCCCCAAAAGGTTCGTGTGTGCGCTCATTCCGCGCTTTGCACTGGTAGGCGGAGCCTAAGGTGCTCTGGATCGGCGCGCTGCCATTGACTTTTCGCTTGCGGATTGTTTTTGGTGTCCCCGCCCTGGAGCTGGACAGGTGGTGAACCTTTGGAGTTGGTCGTACAGTGCCCTTCATTGGTTGGTGGCAGTCTGAGGTGATTTTGGCTCACTATTGTACCGGAATTGTCATTCTCGAGTACTTTGTGAAGGCTGGACACTTCGGAAGTTGCTGAGGTAATTTGGTGCAAGTTTTGTTGGCTCGCAGTATCACCTTTTGATTTTGCACGATTTCGAATTTTACAATGCAGTCAAATGGGCAATCATTGTATGTTGACCCGAAGTCCAACGTTGTGCATTATGACGGTAATCCAAAGTTGGCTGAAGAATATGAAGAGCGGGTATGGCTGGGTTTTCAAACTGTGATGAAGGAAGAGAAAGTGTCCTATGCAGCAAAACTCAAGAACGCATTGCATGGCCGTGCATGGACACTCTGTCACAGGAAACCTGAGATCGCAGCTCAGAAACTCCTTCAGCTGAGTGAATCGGATCCGAGCACAACGACAGGACCACGAGCAGCAGTACAACTGGTGGTAAAAGTTGTGAGGAATGCTTGTGAGAAGGTTGCTCCATTGCTCAAGACCCAGACCTTCGAAGACTACTTCTTTGAGAAAGGTCGAAGAAAGGCATCCGAAAGCATCCAAGACTACATCAGTCGCCGAGAGAATGAATATGAGAAGCTGACAAGTCTGACACAAGGTCATACAAAGTTGTCGACTGATTTGCAAGCCTTTTTCCTACTGAGGAATGCTGGTGTGAGCTCATCGCAACATCGTGCCATCCTGGGTCAAGCAGGGAATGAGTATGATTGGGACAAGATTGTTGAAGCTATGCTCATTCAATTGGACGGTGGTGATGACATCAGCAGCAACAAGGGTTGGAAAGGTGGTTTCAAGTCAAGACAACAAAGCAGCTACAATACAGGTGGCAAAAGAAGCGCATGGGCCTACCCGATTGAAGAGGAGTGGTCAAGCTATGATGGTGAGACTGAGGATGTGTACGCAGTTGATGACTGGTACTATGATGATGAAACTGCTGAAGAAGGAGTCCCCATCTATGAAGTCGAAGAAGACATCCATTTCGACATCGAGGAGATGGAACATGCTGTGGAGGTGATGGCAGTTGATGACCTATCTCTGGAGGAATTGGACATCTTCGCTATGACTGCTCAGAAAATGGGTAAAGGTGCTTCAGAATATGCTCGCAAAAGACAAGCGGTCAGAGATGGAAAGGTCAACAGAGGATATCAACCTAGCACAGTTGGCCACAATCGAACAGCAATTGCATTGGATGGCAAGGTGACTTTCAATGCAGGACAGCTACAAGACAAGTTGCAGCAGATCAAGTCACGGACGCAGTGCTATGACTGTGGACAAAAGGGACACTGGCGTGGTGACAAGTCATGTCCAAAGAGCACGAGTTCATCATCAAGTTCAAAAGGCGGCAAGAAAGGCTCAGGAAAGAAAGGAGGCCGCAAGGGTGGTTTTCTCCAGAGGGCTGGAATGGCAGCAGCGATGCTCGCATCGGCATCAGGACAGCTGCTCGCATCATGCCAAGAAGCCCTGAACTGTTTGAACTTGTCGTGCATGGAGGAGTTCCGTGAGTTTGACATCGAGGATCAGATCCACAGCTGGCCCAAGTTTGAGACCTTTGAGGAGCTGCAGTCATTGTCGCAGGTGGACGCCTTCATGACAAATGAATCCGAGTTGGCAACAGTCCCACACAGTCTGACATTCATGGCAGGAGCCGGACGCGAGACAGTGCCGTCCGGAATGTGTGTTGTTGACACAGCTGCATTGATTGGTTGCGGTGGTGACCGAACATTGGATCGTTTCATTGGAAAGTTTGGAAGCGAGACAACTCTCCAGACATCCAACAAGGTCCTGAAAGGAGTCAATGCTGACGCACCAGTTCTTGTGCAGCATCAGCAGTGGATCGACATTCACATTGCCGGTCAGAAAGGTCGTGTGGAATTACACCGAATTCCCAATTCTGATGTTCCATTGTTGTTGGGCCTTCCACAACTCAAAGAGCTTGGTGCAGTCATCGATCTCACTGCAATGCCAAAGCCGACCATCCAGTTCACATCCATTGGTTCAGAGAAGGTGACCTTGGAGTATGGCAAAGGTGGTCATTTGCTCTTGGACATTGGACACAACAGTGAGAAGAGAAAAGACACTAGGCTGGCAGGTGAGACGGTTGAGGTGTTTCATCAGTTGAAGGCGAAGGACTACAACGTGGAGGCGATCAGGATCATGAAAGGGAAACTTCGAAAGAAAGTCCAACAGATGGCTGAACAGGCCAAAGAACATGGAAGAGCTCTATGGAAAGAACTTCGAAAAGGAGCCACGAAGCGTGGGAGAAAGGTGCTTGTGAAGGAGCTGTACAGTGGAAAAGACGGTGGTGTGGTGACAATGCTGGCAAAAGACAATGATTTCGCATATGGTCGCCCCCGGGATTTGTTGCTGGGAGACAACTTCTTGAAGGAAGAAGACAGGCGCTTAGTGCTTGAGGAGAGCAAAGTTGAGAAGCCAAAGCTGATCACCATGGGATTCAACTGTGATCCCTGGACACCGCTTAGCAATTTCCTGGACGAAGACACTCGTACAGCACAACAAGAGACAGCACTAGCACATCTGACATTTGTGAAGGAGATTTGTGAATTGCAAGTGTTGGAAGGACGACACTACTTGTTGGAAAATCCATTGTCATCGCAAGCTTGGAGGCATTTGATGGAGATGTTGGAACACATTCCACATTACACCGTGCGGATGGATCAATGCATGACTGATCTGAAGGACGTGAATGGTGATTTTGTGCTGAAACCAACCCGTTTCGTGACATCCTCTCCGGTTTTGGCTTCATTGTTGAGTGTTCGCTGTTCAGGTGATCATGACCATGCCGAAGTTCAAGGAAGAGGACAAAAGGACGGGCATAACATCTCATCATTGCTGGGACAATGGACACCTCAGTTGGGGGTGATCATCCTTGAAGGAATCCAACGACAAACACTTCTTGAAGAGCAATGTGGTGAAGTGAAGTACCATCTTGAGGAAGCTGATGTTTTTCATAGTGCTTTGAAGAGAAGCTCAGAGGTGGTGTTCCGTCAACGTGAAGAGGAAGAGCTTCAGACATGGGAGGAGGTACCCGTTCTGTTGAGAAGCGCAATCACCAAGGTGCATCGACAATACTCCCATTCATTGTACAAAGAGAACTTCAGTAGACACCTGAAATTGTCAGGAGCCTCAGATCGGGCAATCAAGGCGGCAATGCTGTTCACATGTCCCACATGTGAGAAGGAGAGACGCAGTCCAGCAAAGCCAATCGCTGCCGTGCCCAAGTACAATCACTTCAACCAGTGTGTTGCCATGGACATTGCACACATTCCCGATCAAGATGATGTGATGCATTCCTTCTTGATGATGGTTGACATGGCAACAAACTATACCATGGCATCTTACCTATGTTCAGGTGACAATCCTGGAAGACCAAAGAAGCCACAATCATCACAGTGCCGAAAGTCACTGATGGATTGGATGGAAGTGTTTGGTGGTCCGGAGAAAGTGCAGGTGGACCAAGATGGATCACTCAGAGGCGATTTCCGTGATTTGTTGGATCGCTATGGGATTGAAGAGATCCTTGTGGCGCGAGATGCACATTGGTCACATGGCATTGTGGAGCGAAAGATTCTGACAGTGAAAGAAATGATGTTGAAATTGGTGCATGACAGTGAAATCCGTGGTGCTACATTGTCAAGAGTGGCGGTCATTCAGTGCACCCAGACGATCAACAGACTTTCGAACTTCAGAGGATTTTCGCCTGCTCAATGTGTCCTTGGTTTTCAACCCAACCTTCCGGAGATCATGAGTGATGGAAGACGAATCCCAATAGCTGACAACGAAGATCATTTCGCAATGGCACAACGGATGAAGCTACTACAAGATTGTGAACATGCTTTTGTGAAAGCCAATCATTCAGCATCGCTTCGTCGTGCATTGCTGTCACAGACTCGTCAACAGCCAGGTCCATTTGACATGCACAGCCTCGTGATGTACAAGAGGAAAGGCTTGAAACACAAGGTGTACAAGCAGTGGCATGGACCAGCTCGAGTCATTGGCAAAGATCTTCAAGGCTACTGGCTCATTCATCGCGGCTCGCCTATTTTGGCGCATCCTCACAATTTGAGAAGAGCAATTGCAGAGGAACAAGAATTGATGCTGGAAGATGATGACACACTACCAGCACGACCAGGTGGACAACAAGGATTTTTGGACCTCTCAAAACCTCAAGATCCCATTGATCTTGACGATGATGGAGAAGATGCTAAGGCTGGAGACTATTCACCTACAGAACCTCCAGTTGATGATGGTGCCGCAGCAGAGAGACCTACTCAAGGAGAAGAAGAGGAGATGGCACGGACATATCAAGACGAATGCACATCCAGTGGTGATGAATCCCGTGAAGTCCGTGAGATGAAGAGAATTGCGAGGCATGAAAAGAGGAAGAAAGAAGGTGAAGCAGAGGAGACAACAGAAGCAGCAGATGATGATCAAGATGAAACTAAGAGGCTGAGGAGACCAAAGAAACCCGAGGAAAGCTCAAGCAAGAAGAGAAGGAAACGAAAGAAGAAGATTGAAGAGGCCAAAGAGCAACAGAATGTTGAGGAACAATCTGTTCCTCAAGGAAGTCAAGATGAACCTTCGAGTATGCCATCAAGTTCCATTTTGGATGAAGAACACAAGAGGAAACGTGATCTTCTACTTGATGATGTACCAGAATCCATTCGTGGAGCGATGAGACGAAGGCTTGAAGACAAGGAGGTGGACTCATCTGGTGGAGTTGAGATGTCCGCAGAAGAGAGAGAAACAATGTGTGTGGCATTCCTAGCAGAGAGGATGGACACCTACACCAAAAGGAACAAGCACACGGAGCTAAACCCTCAGAAGATGAGGTCACAGCTTCCACAGTTCACAGACAAAGAGATCGAGGAAGCTATGCAAAAGGCTGTGGAGAAAGAAATTGGCACATGGCAACGCTTTGATGCCATCGACATCGTGCCTCCGGATGAAAGCAAGGAAATCCGGAAGGAAAGCCCGGAGAAAGTGATTTCCTCAAGAGGCGTTTGGACAAAGAAGGATGATGAAAAGAGAGATGAAAATGAAAAGGAAGAGCTTGTGCTGAAGTGCAGGGTCGTTGGCAGAGGCTTTCAAGAAGAGTACGACGAGAACCTCCGTCGTGATTCGCCAACATGCTCTACATTGTTGGTTCAGGTCATTTGCAGCCTGGCATCATCAAGGCTGATGAAGTTGACAGCAGCTGATGTCAGAGGAGCCTTTTTGCAAGGGCTGAAGATTGACCGTGAGCTGTACTTTGAGCCTCCAAAGAATCTTGGAAAGGCTCAGATTCCAGGAGTGCAGCCAGGTGCCTTGCTCAAACTCAAGAAATCCATCTACGGCGTGAACGATGCCGCAAGGCAGTGGTATCATTCCATCAAGGGAATCCTCCTTCGTTTGGGCTGGGAAAGCTTGACATTCGAGCTTGCCGGTTTTGTGCTTCGTGACCCAGCTTCAAAAGAAGTGATAGCCATTTTGGCTTTACATGTTGACGATGTCCTCATTGCGTGGGATGAGAAGAAATATCCCGAAGAATGCAAGAAGATGCAAGAACAAATGCAGAAAGAAGTTGAATGGGGGCAATGGAGGACTGATGGAACTTTGAAGTTCTGCGGCAGATCCTATCACCAGGATGAGGACGGGACAATCCATGTTCATGCTCAGGAATATGTGGAGAACATGAGCACCTACAAGGTCAGTCGAGAACGTGGCAAAGACAACAATGCAAAGCTGACACCAAGCGAAACCAAGGCATTTCGAGGACTACTTGGTCAATTGCAGTGGTATGCCCGGATTATGGGGTACTCCATTGGTTTCCAGGTCAGCAGACTTGCCAGCGAGATCAAGGATTTGAGGATGTCAAGCCTCAAGGAAGCATCAAAGTTGGTGAGAGAAGTCAAACAATACCATCAAGAAGAGGAGCTCATTTTTAGACCAGGCATGGCTTGGCAACCGGAAGACATTGCAGTGGTAGCAGTCCATGATGCATCCTTCAACAATCTTCCAGGTCACAAGAGCCAAAAGGGATATTGGCTGGGCATTTCAACACCCGAGTTGATCAAGGACCGGACGAAGGTACACCACATTCATTTTGTTCATTGGACATCATCCAAGATACAAAGAGTGGTGCGGTCAACCTTGAGTGCTGAAGCCTATTCCTGCTCAGAAGCTCTGGATGCCCTCAGTTGGTTGAGAGCGACCATTTTGGAAGTGTTGCATGGAGATTTGGACATGCGTCACTACAAGGAACATTTGCATCGCGTGCCAGGTGTCACGGTGACAGATTGCAGATCACTATATGATTGCATGAAGTCAGAACGTGTGTTGCTTTCTGATCGCAGACTGTCCTTGGAGGCAGCAATCATCCGACAAAGCTTGCAAGAAGGTGTTGAATGCAAGTGGGTGCCATCAGAGCAACAACTGGCAGATGCATTGACAAAGGCGCTTCATCGAAAAGGCTTGGCTTATTTGAATGATGTGCTCTACTCCAACAAGTGGACACTTGGCCCAGATCCAAGATTGCCAGAGACATCGAGGAGCCGGAAGCTGGAAAGCCCAGAAGAAAAGCCAAAGCCAGAAAAGGTGAACAGCCATGAAGAAGCCGAGATGATCAACCAGAAGCCGATTGAACTTGAGGAGAATGAAAGTTCAGCAAGCCCCAACAGGACAACCCATATATCCACAAGTCCCGGAGTAAGTGCGAAGTCCGTACTGATGATTTCATTTGCACAGCAGTTCCTCCCTACAAATGCCGAGCCGGACGTGAGGACGATCCTGCCCCAGTTTCCATGGGAGTTGATGTTTGCGTGCGTGATCATTGTGCTGACAGGTCTCTTTTGGTACAACACGACTTACTACACGGAGTGGTTTTTGTGGTATGAGGACCTTGCATTGTACAAACAAGGTGCACTTGTTTCGCTCACAACAATGCTGGTGGTCGTGATCGGGTTGAAGACAACAGTTTCACAGAATTCAGAATGTTTGATGTTGATGTGGGGTGGAATGGTGATCATGATAGTGTTGCTGGTGAAAAGACTTGATGAAAAGACATCAACGATCTTTACCCTTTTGGGCCAAGAACGCAAGAAGACTCAGGAGCTGATTCATGCAGGTATGTCACAAATGTTCAATGAGAACAACATCATGCTGACAGGGATGGACCGCATGAAGCACGCCATCAACGAGGATTTCAAGAAAGTCTCAGCGTTCATTGGTGACAGCAACCGGTTCACCTACCAGAAAATGGACGACATTGCAGAAGAAAGCAATTTCAGGATCACAAAAGTCACTGACAGGTTGATCAGGATTGAATACAAACAAGAACGACAAGAAGTGAGAGCTCTGGATTTAGAGAAACGTCTGAAGCAAAAGAAAAGGCATCGGACCCCATCCATGAGTTCAGATGAGAAGCGAGCAATCCTGTTGAAGAGGCAGGACAGAAGAGAAGCCCCAGGGACTCCAACGGAGTCAGAAGTCATGAGCATGCTGGAAGACCCCGCAGTGCCGGAGTTATTTGTGGAGCCAGGAGCAGATGGTCGGCTGGCCCCGCATGACGAAGATGAGAGTTTGGGTGAAGATCACGGAGATGATCATGATGCAACGACAAGGGAGAACATCGGCATGACTCAGGACAAATGGGAAAAGATGACCAGAAAAGAAAAGAAGTACTTTTTGCTGACAGTGATGTGGGAAGCGGCATGCGTGTACAAAGATGAAGAAAACATCAATAGCATCAGCCAACAAATGCAGATGCTTGCTGATGAGATTAATGCTGAAGCCCTGATATCAACATCAGGAGCAAGTAGCTCACATCACGATGTCCAGGTGTCAGAGCGTGAAAGGCCACAGAATGTTGAGGAATGTAAAGTTGAAGAACCATGCGATTGACCTTTCACGAACTGACAGCCGACAGGACAGCAAGGTGGGACGTCACGAGCTCATGTTCCGTGATGTCTCGGTTCGAACCCCGGACCTAGGCCTTGAGCCTCCCGCGAGCCCCAAAAGGTTCGTGTGTGCGCTCATTCCGCGCTTTGCAATACATACATACTATACACACACCAGGAGTCAGAAAGGGGTGCCTACTGGAGGATAAGGGTGCCCACTATCCACTCACTTAGGGACTAAACACCACCGCTTTGTGACTCCCGGTGTATTACATTATATATTTAATACAGTATTTAAAATATTTACATGTATTTATCACCATTCAGTTTCCTTTCTTTCTGGATAGTGCTCCAATTGATCACCTTCGACCTTCCCTGCTCGACCTTCCACTTGGCACCCTTCGACCTTCCCTCGAGGATGCGCTCCTTGGAGCTTTGGGAGCTCAACCTGATGGAAGATGAAATTTCGCCGTGCCGTGCACCTTGGAACTCGAGCCGGTTGGGGGGTTGGGGGGCAGCAGGCAGCAGGGCAGGCAGGCTGGGGGGCGTTCGCCGGCCGAGGTAGATGTGTCGAACGGTCGCACCGTGACCTTCCTCAAAGGGGCCGTTCACAGAGTAGCAAGGAATCTACATGGTTCATCTAGTTTTTTCGGGCTGGGGGTTATCCATGTATTGTATGCCTTGATCCCTCAAACCACCCCAACTGGTCGGTAACTGTTTCAAATTCCATGGAATGTTTGGGATCGTACTTCAATATGGTTCACTCTTTTTGGTTGTTTTGCTCTCTTGTAATCGATCCAACGCCGGTTTAATCATTCTTAGTGTTACTCACTGAAGTACAGGAAACACCTTGATGGGCTGCCCAGGGCTGAAAGATATTTTGTTCTCGCCCCGAACTTAGTTCCAAAGACAAACACCACACACCTAGAAGTCCTGGTTCCTTTTATGAATATGTTTTTAGGGATCATTGGAAGCCCCTGGGGCAAAAAAGAACAGCTTTGCTCCTCTGAGGCTTCGACGGAGGATCCTCCCGCTGACACCTTCTGGTGGATTGAAGGGTGGAGCAGCGCCCCGTTGGTCGTTGTGGACGGAAGCAGTCGCACGGCACATGTGCACATCTATAAATATAGTGGACAGGCGGAATATGCTGGAATGTGGCACTAACAGAACGGTCAAAGAGGTAACCGGCCCGTGGATGCAGCTTGAACTTTGGCATCCCTCCTTCCAGAAATGGCCAGACAAACGATTTGGCGAGTCCGTGGACCTCAGCCACGTCCCTGCCAGGCATGTCTCATATGAAGCGGCCTTGAAGCACCACCTGCAAGCCAGACATGAGGAGCCGGGAGTCGACCGGGGCTTCATCCCGATTCCAGGTGCACCGGTGCCTCTGAAGGGGGTTTGATATATTCCCCCTAGACCAAGTGATCAAAACCTCCTGTGGGCAACATCAGGAATTCTCAGGACCCAGCGGACAATCCCAAAAGGTCCAAAGGCGGTTTTCGAGGCCACGACACAGCGGACAATCCGCTTTCTACGTCGCTGAGTCGCTTTCTACACACGAGTGCCAGTCCGGCGAGTGATGTCGTGGTTTGTAACACGAGTTGTGCTGGTTAACCTTTGCCCATCCGAAAAGCATGGCTTTTAGCAATAATCAAGAATCTCTAAGTTGGAGGCCATCGCTTCTAGCTTGGAGGTCATCGCTATTAGGTTGACAAAAGCTTGGATATTGTTGACTTTGTGTGTTCAGAACAGAGGTTTTGGATTCCGTGGAGAATGTATTTCATCCCTGCCATGAGCCCTGCAGAATCATTGTACCGGCCAATGTCGCTTTACATTGTTGCTTCATATTTGGGGACGTTAAGAAGCTGAGGAAATGGAGGAACATGCCAATGGCATCCAATGGCAATGAGATGTCATAATGATTGTATTACGTTGTAATTGTTATCGACGTGTGCGGTGATTTGAGTTTCGTATTCCTGGTGCCCCCCCCTGAGAGTGAGTTGTCACTCCAAATTGAGATTAACAATCTTTGGGGAAGTGGGGTGACAAAAAGCATTTGGGAGTAAGAATAGTTGCTCCAGAACGGGCTTTGTTGCTTTGCAACGTGTTGCGAACACAAAGAAGTTTTGGGAACGCAACATGCACACAATCTGACCACACTTACAGTGGATGTTTTTTTACCTCCAGAGTTGCTGTCTCACCACTGTCCAAAAGATTGATAATTGCAAAATGGAGTGATAAGTATCACTCTTTGGTATTCTTCGGTGGTAGAAGGTTTATTCTATATATCATTTGCAGCCACGAAGCAAGCAATCCCCTGTGTTCACTCGGCACAGGAGTCGCCGCAGGCGCCTGGGCTTATTTCGGTGAAGTTTTTGTGAACTGCACGGTGTATGCTCACCTTGCTGGAGCGTCCGAATTGGGTGAAAGGTCTTAGTTTATGTTGCGTTTACAGTGGGCGACGGTGTGGCGGTGACTTTTCAGCCTCGTGGCTGTGCGGAGTTCCATGGGGAAGACTTGGTAACAAGAACTGGCGGTGACTACCGCCGTTGCTTGTAGGCTGTGTACTGCGTCGATGTTGTGATGTTGTTTGTATTTCAATAGGGAACCTGGGAACCACCCCCACCAATCGGTTGTGGTCCATCTTGCGGAGAAGGTGTTGACTGGCCTTCTGCCTATTCCAATACCAAACAACACGTCAATGCCAGAACTCCCAAGGAATCAGGAGGTCGAAACACCACCGGGAAAGCCTAATCAGTGGTTTGACGAAGGTCGAACCCCAACAAGGAAGGCGGTTTCGACAGGTCCAGTGCGCTGGTTTTTACATGCAAGACCGGTGTTTCCCACTTCAACATTGAGAGGGTAAGAGCCGTCAGGGGGCCATTAAAGTGATTGGTATAAGAGGTTTGCCATACCCCTATGGATCCACATTACCCTTTGAGAGGGTGATTGGACACTCTTTGATGTAGGTATGAGGAGGGTTCAGTCGTACCTTCTGGAAAAAGGTATTTCGATACCCCAACGGCCCTACGGTTTAGAAGATAGCTATAATAGCTATCCTCTAAACCGTAGGGCCGTTGGGGTATCTATATGGAGTTTATAACTACAGCCTGCAAAAGTTAGCTTAGGCTGACACCTTCCAATGTGTTTTAACAGCATTTTAATCTTCATAATTCGAAAAGTCTCACGTCTCCACGTCCGCAGCTTTTCTGCGCACGCAGGTTTCCCAAGCCCCGCTGGCTGAACTGAAGGACTTGCAGAAGGACCGGCACTGGACGGGCAGTGCAGAGGAGGTGTTGGAAGAGGGCTCCAAACATGGTTAGTGGGGAGGGTCAGATGTGAATGACACTCGTAACGTCGTAATTAGTAACAAGGACGCTACTAGTAGCTTGTGGCATTCCCAGTGCTACTAGTGACAAGAAGCTACTAGTAACAAGGTGCATCGCTACTAGTAGCAAGGACGGTACTAGAAAAATGTGAAAACACATTGAAGTGGCTTGACTGGTGAATACTGGTGAAAGATTTAGAAGATGCTGCCACCTTGAGTGAACGGAGAGCACTTTCTCCACAAAGTGTTCATGGAGAGTTTTCTCACACAACTACTCGATGACAAATCCAACCGTTTTGTTCCCTCCCATGATTCGGTCGCATGTGATGGGAGGATCCTTTTCTTCCGGATTTTTGTTGTTTGATGATCCACGCTATTTCGTCCAACTTGAATGAGGTTTTGTTCCTCCGTTTCCAGTCTCCGAAGTCTTCCAGAAGTCCTGGGCTTTCCGCGATGTCACCATGAGATCATTTGAAGGCGGACATTGACACGACTTCTTCGGGAGTACACCGAGCAGACGTCATCCGAGGAGACATCTCCTTTACATTGCTTTCAGTATCCCCTGAGAATTGGAATTCCAATGGGAGAGACAAGAAGACTTTGTGGTGACTTCTGGTTTCCTCCACCTCCATGGGGGGGAGACATTTGTGGGACAGCGTGGGGTGACTTTAGCGGTTCCCCGTAGGAAACATATATGATCATATATAACTATTTTATAATCATATATGATATATGTGTCTCTTTTGGAATCTTTTAGATCATAGTTTTGGTATATTTAAGTTTCTTCTTTGGCGGATGGACAGATCTTGCACAAGAGCGGCGAGTTCAGCTCACCGACTGAGGTACCACTGACCGACTTGTTGACTTCCAGAGTTGGCTGAGCCGAAGGGACAACCATGAAGGTCGACCAACCCCATGTCCCTTCAACCAGCACCCGACTCAACAGGTCTCTTTTGGAGGCTTCGGCCTGACGGTCTCAATTGGGTGAACTGTTGGGACTGTTGGGACGCTGGAGGTGGACACTGAAGAGTGATACCTTTTGCGGATGACGGATGGGGATCTAGCTGCGATGGTTGGATGAGGAATGCGCATAAGTACCGTTTAGTTCACCAGTGTTGTACATCAGTACCGTTGAAAAAGAGCTCCACCCCCCGCTCTTCTTCATAACTCCCCACTTGGTTCAGATTGATGAGCAGCATGGAGTGACACTCGATGACACTCACCCTGACTCACCCTGCTGCGATGCCGAGCGCCACCACGAAATGACCGTCATTCGACGTCCCCCGCTTCCAAAACGTTGGAAGTCCAGAGTCCAGAGATGCCGCGCAGGCCTATTTGATGTGCCACTTCACCTTTGTCATTTACGTTCCCGACGTGCCACCCGATGGCAATGGATCGGGTCCTTCCAAACGAGTCGCGCTTCTCCACGTCAACCGGCGTCGACGCTACAGTGACTATACAGGGACGACAGTTTGGATCCATCCACTATCATCATCCGCCACTCATTGGGGTGGTGATGGTCAAAGAGTGTCCATTTGTTGGGCATGATGAGGATAGGGCTGTTCCAAGAGTTGTGAAGAATCACTGGTCCTTGTTAAGGCTGTTAATAGTTAGTGAACTCCTCGTTTGTCTATTCCTATATACTATAGTTGACTTTGTGTGTTTGTCGGTTTCTTCCCTATGTTGTTCTTTTTAGAGGGTTTCTTCTGCAGCGATTCTTTTGGTTGATTAACAATGATGCATTTAGATCCGAGTCTAACTCCTGAAACAATCACGGAAGTGGAACATGGCCCCTTGGATGACAATGTTCCAGTTTTCCTCTTCCATCTCAGTGACTCGGAGGAGTTGTTACTGCCCTGGGCCATGCCGGGCCATGGAGTGTCCCGAGGCCAACGATTGACGTGGATGCTGAGCGCTGGGGCTGGAACTTGGTCGGCTACGCGGAATCGCTGCCCACCGCACGCCATGAGGCTCCGCCCGGAAGGGGCTCCCACCTCTTCGCCACCTCTTCGGATCGTTTCCGTGGTTGAGCGACACCACGCCGTCCGTTTCCGTGGCGTCCCAGGCATCTGTGGTGAGCTTCCATGACCATGCAGCACTCTTCCAGCATCCGAGGACCCTTTGATGGACAGTCTGACAGGTCACGATCCATCATCCCTGGTCATATGCTTAAATAGATTTGTTGATGTATAAGATTGTATAAGTATGTATATATATATTTTTTTTCAGTGTTTGTTTTTGGTGTTGAATTGTTTAAACTGTATATGTATATTTATATATATATATATGCGACGTACAATGTTGACTTACTCACACAGAGAGAGAGAGAGAGAAAAAAAAGAGAGAGAGAGAGAGAAAGAGTAGCTGTTAGAACAAAAGGTGGTCCATACTCGATAGCCTGTGTTGGATGCTATGTGCTACATCGGGGAAGGGCAATGTTTGGGGATCGCATTTTCGCACCCAGGAGCTTGGAATGCGTCCTTGCTTTCGAGGGCAGCTGCTTGACGAGAGGGTGGGACTGGAAGAGGACTTGCCAACCCAGACCACCACTAGGCAGCCCGCAGCCCTTGGGAACTGCTGGAGACTCTTCCAAGTCCCATGGATAGTTTGGGTACGACTGACGGGCTTTGGAGCATGGATCTCGAGATTTTTGATCGGTTTGACCTACATTTTGAGGATCCTCAAACATTATCAATCAACTATCATGTTTGTTGATGGGTCACAGAGGAGGTCTAGTCTATACACATACCGGACCTGGGAATGTGAATGCACTCTTTGGAGGGAGATGATTTAGCTTAGGCCCATTTATATAGGCCCACAAGATTCTGAATATCATTGGTTGTCAGATCGCACCAGGCGCTTGGCCACATTTTTTAGGTTTGTATCCAAGTGGTGGTTTTGGATGTTTTGGTGCATGGGAGTGTGCATTTATCTAGTGGATGTTCATGTTACGGTTTTGTGGGAAATTTGCAGCAAGAATGCACCCGCATGGGGTTCATTGTCGCAAAGACATGGCTAGTGGCGGACGCGACTGCCTAGGTGATCGCAACGATGCGAGCGATTGGCCGCTTGGATTGCCATCGCCTTGGGCCGGTCATTCCGACTTCGGTCGATCAAACAGCACACAAACATTAAGTGCTTTCATGCAGTTTCCTGGCCTTAGAGGTCATTGACATTCCGGGGCACTGGGTGCCTGTGTTTAGCCCTATCGCGCTCAAGATCTCAAAAATAACTGGTGAGACCGAACACGTCCGATGTACATGCAGTATCTTGGAGGTCATTGATGGATTTTGGGTAGGAAGACCTATTGTCCTGTTCCACTGAGACCAGTCGACGTTTGTTGGAAGGTGCCGGGTTGATCAGTCGAGATCCTTCGAGGCTGCAGGTCCACCTTAATGAGTGCTCCATGCAAGATGGAGATATACCAGGACACCCTAAGGGGTGTCTATTGATGGCCCCTTAGAGCCTTAGAGGTTAAGGGGTGTCCATTAACCACCCCTTGTGGGTCCTGGTAGAGGCATGGGGAGGCATGAGGGTTGGCCAAACCGGCCCTGTTGGCCCTGTTGGGCCCCGTTGGGCTCCGCGTTCCGTCTGACCGTGCTCCGTCGGCCCGACCCGCGGTCTCCTTAAGGGTCTACGATGTGGAGATCGCCACAGAGGACTTCTGCGGATACCATGAGGTTCATCGCGGCTTCAAGGAGAAGCTGATGGCCATGTTGGAAAGCGTTCTGGTTTGCAAGCGCCCAAAGCACAGACGTTTAAGAGACAATGGCAAAAGGCCACACAGAAACACTTTGTATCAATTTGTATCATGTATCCGGTATATATGGTATGTCTCAGCGTCTCAGCACATCAAATGGTTTGTGGACAGATGACAGATGATTTGTCTCTTTGTCCGCACTCTCAAGGCCGAGCGATTTAAATACCAGTGCCTGTTGGATGCTGTTGGTTCATATGGGGGCGGCGGGGGTGTGGCTGTGAACCACATCCCACGTGCATGTTAAGTTCCCCTCAAAATCTAGGAGCCAAATGAATAGTTCGAGCGCTTCTTCAAGGAAGCTCCCCCCCTGCCGCCTGCTTCCTTGAAGAAGCGTGAGCTATCCTGCTTCCATATGTAGTAGCTTACTTGTAGGTAGTAGCTACCTCTAGCTACAGCCTACCCCACCCAGCTTTAAGAAATGCAAATATAGTCTTCACATTAAGGAAACCCTTCTTTGCCTCAGTGAGGCGATGACTATGACCGCGCGATCCGGGCCAAGCTGCCCTTTTGCTCCCAGGTGGGGGAATCCCAATCCCCATCCCGTCGCTCGTGTGGTCACTACGGCTTCCTACGGCTTCGCTTTCGACTTGGCAAGACTTGGTTGTTTATGTGCACTTTTGGGCCAATCCGCTTTGAGAGCTAGTTCTGTGTTCAAAGATGCGAAATTACAATATAATGTAAGAGTTCCAGGGTCCCCTCCTGAAGGTTTCTTCTCACCAAGGTTGCCGGATGCTCGTCCTCCTAAACACAACAAAGTACGATGAAGTTCTATGTCACTATGTCAATGTCCACAATAACTCGCAATCTGAATCTTCCAAATCCACCCCAAGGACTCCAAGCGCCTGAGAAGATAGCATTGAGAGGTACTAGTAGGAGCACGATGGCGCACATATTCTTACAGTGCATCACTAGAAGTGTCCAATCTCAAAAAGTTCACTGCTTTGGCCAGTTGGTGACAGCGGGACACTCCATGGGTGGCGCTCAAGCCGAACTCTTCAGCGCATGTGCCAACCGTGGACCTCCGAGTGGTGAGCAGGCTGACGCTGCGTGCCTCAGGAAGTTGAAGGAAGACATACGGAAACACTGGAAAGTGTTGTCAACGTAAGTTATGACAACTATATCCCAGGTGTGCGAGAAGTAAATGTCGTGCGTGCGGAGATTGCAATTTCATCACATCGGCACTGCAAAACGGGTCCAGAACTGTGCGAACGGTCTTGACTATCAATCTGGGTTCAGCGGTTCAGCCTGTCGGCGACGTGTGCAACTTTCCGAAAGTCCAGGAACTTGTCCATTGGTAGTATGACAAGTTAGATTCCTTTGCAACATGGAGTATGACAAATCGACCTACGACCAGTTTGGTCGTATGACATCCTAATCTTCCTTTGGAGACTGCATCGAGTCGATGGGTTTTCAGCCAACACTCGCCACCGTCCAGGCTGCTCGAGATCGAGCGCTGGTGATGGTCCCGTGGGCGACGCCCAAACCATTGACACCGTTCCTCGCGGAAGAGGCGCGGGGGGGGCTTTACCGCTGGGCATCTCTGGGCAGGTGCGATGAAGGGCGGTGGATGCGCTTGTTCTTTGGTGCAGGGAGGTGGGCACTGCCGTAGGTGTTGTTTCAACATATCACCAATTAAGTGATCAGCAAAGCACTCATGATGTGGACTGTTTTTTTTTAAAATATATTTATTAATATCATCCCCTGTATGCAAGAAATCAACTGTCCGCATTATCCAAACTACTTACTTGCTTTCAGTGTAAGTGTAAGTCAAACTCACAAAATCTCTTAAAAGAAAGTCTTTTGTTGGATCTTGTTGGCCTTCTCCACTCCTTGAAGACAGTCCATGGCCCCACAAGCAAACAGAATGGGAGGACAACTGCCCTGGGCATGATGTTGTTTGTTATTGTGCGGCTATCATCTCCACTGGTGGCCACCCTGTTCGGCCGGTGTGCTCCGTGCCATTGGCGTGCCATTGGCGTGCTATTGGCGATGAGTTGCCTGGCGAAAAACAGATGACTGTCGATCCAACTCAGGTACCTGGCATTTTCCTGAAGAATCGTTTCAGTGGCCTTTGCGTGGATGGTGTTGGTGCTGTCCAGAGCTCGGAGGTGTCTCAGCTTGGTTTTTAGGGGACTCTTGTGGTCAACCATCGGTTTTGGACAACCTTTACATCAGCAAGTGCATTTGCATCAACGAAGGCCAGTTTCCTTACGCCGCCAGCTACTTAGAGGACGAGAGTGATTACCTCATTACCCTGTGTACATTCAGGGTTAGCAGTGCCATGGACTCTATGGACTCAATGCTTTGGAGACGAACCATTCGATAAATACCAAGGCCATCCAAGCTTGGTGTCCGAAGCTGTGCACCCTGCACCACGCTCAGGCCAGCACGGTCCAGGCCAGCCTTTGCCATGACCAGCGGCAACTACGGCAGCGTTGGCGTATTGAGGCGACTGGTCCGGAGAGGGGAACATGGGGAACTGGGCTCCAAGGGCGCTGGCTTCGCTGGAAGAGTGACACGGTGCACATCAGTGCACTATTGCATGGAGATTTGTATGTATACACATTACTCATATGTATATATAATGTATCTTAATGTACCATAAATTGTGCAAACTACATAATGGGATAGGTTTAATAGTTTGAAAACTGAATTGGTCGGGCGGAGTTTGGGGCGCCATTCGCACGACGATCGTTCGCCAACCCCGCACAGGGTGACGCCACCTGGTAGCTGTTTCTCCCTTGCTGGGGGGACACCACTGTTTGCAGGGTCGTTGGTCTATCAACGCTTCAGATGAAGCTCATTGAGTAGAAAAGCTCCTGGAGTTGAAATCTCCTCGGCTGCCGCAGGTTGAAGGCTAACGATGCCCATACTAGGCTGATACTTTCGATGGGGCTTGCACAATCATCAAAAAGAACCCAAGTCCCAGCGTACCCTGGAAAATGCATTGAAGTCAAATACAACTCGAAACGCGTACAACTTGTTTCAGCACGATGAACCCAGAACCTGTCAACGATCACTTCTGGATCTTTCCGCTTCTGATGGACATTGGCCCTTCGTTCCCTATGACCGGCCCAACCAGGGGGAATGTTGTTCTTTCTCTACCCTAAGAATCCGTTGGACCACCTTTGATCACCTGACCTGAGGGGTCACCAGAACGGTTTCCCCTTTCTGTAAGAGCGAGTGGATTGTACACCCCCTGATGATTCTGTTGCTTTCTTGCTCGAATTTGGACGAAGGCCGCCAGGCCGCTTTTGGGCTGCATGGCCTTCCACACGGGACAGAAGAAAAGGAACACCCACCTTTTGTTCATACTGATTCATAGCTTCTGTTTGAGGACTCACTCCTGTCACCTTATCGATAGTTCGTTTAGGAATGAGGCTTCGCACACACCTTCAGACTCAGACGCCTGCCGGAACTTAAACTTCCCAAGCATTGAGAAAAAACATGGATTCCAACATACTTGCCCCAGGTGCTTCTAGGTATAACATGGCTGATGACTTGACATTTCTTTTGACCAGTGGTCCAGTGGTGTGTGAATTCTGACATCCCACGCCCTGTCTCGAATTTCAACATCCCGCGGGTCGTAGCATGTGGGGCCCATCTTCCAGGAGTGGATGCGGAGGTCCATCTCCTATAGACACTCCATGTGGCTGTGCAACTGAACATGGGAGACACCCAATCCATGGGTTTTGGTACTGGTTTTGGTCTATTTCTCTTCTGTCCAGTGATTTTTTGGGAGACGGCCAACACACACGAATGCATGCACTATATATGCCTAATATGCCTACCTTGACACTTGAACCCACCCCAATTCAACCTCAACGCAGGTAAATCTGCCAGTCCCAGGGAGTGTTGGGGTCAGAATTGAAAGACATTGAAGGTGCATTTTGGCGGCAGAAAACGTATACCTGGTGCATTCTGGGAAAATGGTGTCTGACCCAGAATCAGGATGGCCGTGTGATTAGTGAGCTGAGTAGCCTATGCATGACGGTCTCTTGGCAGGCATTGGAGTGTGGTGGGGTGCACCTGGTGCACCACAATTCGAGAGAACATCGCACCCTTCATCCAATGTGTGTTTACAAGTGGGGCCAATTGAGCTGCAGGCAGTCCTCACAAACAGTCCTGGACAGTCCAACGGTTAAGTGACCGTAAATAGGACCCGTCACCTGGGGTACCCCAACTGGGATCATCGATCAGTCGGGTCATTCAACCTCTGTTGGGTCCAACATCCATGTCTCAGGTCAAGGATGCTTTCCACGAAGCCTTTGTCATACAAGAAGCCTGCCGATCCTCCGACGGCCGTGCTACAGAGAACCAGCTTCCTGACCGGATGAAACGCGGCGAACCCGGCCGTGGGCGGGTGAGAACGCATCAGATCCTGGAGATGTGGCCATGTTTGAGGGTCCAGGTGTATGCCAGGTGGAAGTCAACATGTAGAAGTGGGTCCTTTCACAGTTTTGTTGAGACAACACAATTCATCACAATTCAGCTTCATTTATATACCGTGGAACCGGGCCTTCCAAGAATGGTATGCTATGCCTTCAGGGTCTCATGGCGAACTTGGGTCGGTGAGACGGTTGGTCACCACCGACCGCTCGTCGCGAGATTGCACGCGGGTTGTTGCACGCGGTCGGTGCGACCAGGATCCCAGGAAGGGTGCTTTTCAAGGGAAGATCGGCCGGAAATCCATGGTTTTTGCTTTTAATACTATATAAGTTTTCCCGTAGATGTTCCCTGAAAACCACTTCTGGGATATGAGGACCTGGCATCTCACGGTAGAGGGCTTCTTGAAGAGCAGGCGGAGCCGAGCAGCAAGCAGCGCCGGGCCGTTTGCAATGTTTCCGTGGCGAAAGCGACAATACTTGGCGGGATCCCTTAGTAGAATCCTACGCATAACTTATATAATACTATATATAGTCTGCACGACTATGACTATATATATATATAGGCTATATCTAGTTGTACCTGGTCTTGCGGATCGGCTTTTTCCAGTGCTGTTTGCGTCCTGGGTGAACCATCCTTCTGGGGAATAGGTTTTAGGGTTTGTCACTTAGCAGTTTCAGAAGCACATCCAAGTACATGTGTGATGTGTTAAAGTGCGTCCCTCAAATAAAGCCCAAATGGGTGAACTATAGACATTCGAGGCATTTGCTCGTGATGCTGGCCTTAGATGTTACTAGCTCCAGACACTCCATGTGCACTATAGAATGATTACCAATGGCTGACCAGCAACTCAAAGTGTTTTGGAAGTTCTATTTGCCTTTTTTTCGATCTCTTTATCCTGACCAGGTCCCACGACAAGTGCTTGAACCCGGACCTCAAATTGACCAGGCACAGATCTTCCGTGGGAAACGCATGTGTTGCTAGGTCAGCAACAAGGGTTTGAGGAGACTTGTCCATGTGTATCCACAGGATGTATTGCTCCCATGGGCCGTCGATAGTTGACTCCGACTCGGCCATGCTTGAGCCCGTTTGATGTGTTTGACATGGCCCGCTTTTGAGAAAGGAGCAGCCGGCTGTTGCAGGGATGTTCAGATCTTAGCTCACAACTGGATGATTTGTGCTGGAGTCTTAAGCCAGAGAAGGGTCCATATTCTTCAGCCGAAGAGACCGAGATGTCCCGACATCCTTTTCTGCGCAGGTGTCCCCACAGCGATCAGATTTGGGACCTCAGTGTGTCTTCGGGCCTGTTTGCCGCTTGCCGCAGTCGTCATCGGTCGCTTCGTCAGACATAAACATAACTGCCCTAGGGCTCCAACCACCTCCTGAGAAGGTGGTTGGGGTGGGTTTTGGGGGTCTAACCACCTTCTGAGGATATGGTTGGAGCCCCAGGGCTGGAATGGACATGCTAGAACTCCATAAACCTGTTCGAGCTCACCATCTCATATCGCGCGTGCATTTAATTCATGCAAAAAAGCACCAAGCTTTTTGGAAACGAGCACCTAGAACTCCCGCTCCCCCCCGACAGAAAATGGTTTCCCGCGTTACCGCGTGGTCCTTTTCTTCGGGTTACTCACGTTGGGAGATTGGATGACCTTTGGAAACTTCCAACAGAGGTTCAAGGCCCCTACAGGCTATCCCATAGGTACCCCAGGTGACGGGTCCTATTTACGGTCACTTAACCTCTCTCAGTTTGACCCTGGAACCGAAGTTTTTGGCCGCAGGCCGATGGGCATTTGGTGAACCGCCTATCAGGTCTTTGCTTGGACGCGACTCGGCGGGGTGGTCCGGTTGAAGACTTCAAGGTGGCGACCAGAATCCATCGCCGTCCTTTGAGGGTCCAAACTTCTTGAAGGCAAAGTTGAGTCCGAAGAAGGTTGTTTTTTTTGTGGAAGGACATTGTTGTCGCACATCCATGTCTCTTCCGCAGTGCTTGGGAAACTGCTTGGCGCATGCTTTGTTGGGGCATGTTGGGGAACATGTGAGCACGTTTGCTGAGGTTGCTGGCGCTGCTTCTGTGGAAGGGACTGGCTTCCTTTTGCAGCTCGCCCCCAGTTTTCAGCACTCATCCCTTCACAGTGCGCGCTTCACCGCTTAACATCTTAGCCAGTTGGTGCTTGGAACATCTTGGAACTGGGGCAAAGCGCCCTGGTAGCTGGGTATTTTGGGCTTTGCCAATCGACTTGGTCATAGCTGGCCACACTGGCGCTGCTTAATTTTTCGAAGTGGGAGAGACCGACCCGTAACCCCACAGCAACAGCTTGACCATGTCTCCCTGATGTGGCTGGTGTCTGGTGGTGAAAGTCATGTTAAGATCAAACAGTGTCCTAGAACTCCGTTGGGCTTGGCTGTTGTAGATTTCAGTGGGTCCATTTGATCTTGAACACCAGCGCGGTTCTGATAGATAGATAGATAGATAGATAGATAGATATATGAGATCCCTTTAGGCCCCTTCCTATTGTTGGCAACTGTGATTTGCTGAGCATGATTTTTGGTGAAATGATACTTGTGCAGGTTAGTCAAAGAAGTCCTCCTGTTGCTCCATCGCTCCCATTTGCTTCTCAGCAATTTCAACATGTTCAACCGCTCTGAAGGGATTGGAAACCTCTGACCTCACAAGAGCGACAACGAATGGTTTCACTGATCCGAATGGGGCATCTAGGGACGAATGGTTTCAGCTGCAGACCAAAACGCCACAGGCGTTTCATCCCCCAAACCCCCCAAATAGGACCACTGAATCCACCAAATACGGGTGCTTAGCTTCGCAGAACGGGTCGGTGAACCCGTTGGCTTTTCCGCAGGCAGGACTGCAAAGAGGGCCATGAAGGCTTAGCTTCGCAGCAGCGGTGGCAGGACCGGGTTGATCCGTGTTGCAGTGGACGCGGTAAGGTCTTCGCAGGGCAAACGCCACTGGCGGTGGTCACGAAGCAGAGATTTTGCATCACTCCCACTGGGGTGGGGTCTGACGGCCCATGCCCAGTTGCAGTACTTCGCAGTACCCATGATAACCTTTTGGCGTCCAGGCCCAGTTTTCCAGGTCCTGTGGGCCCTTTTTTGGGCCGTGGCGAAGGGTCACCGCACCAGGTGAAGGAGAAGCTGGTGCGCAGCCTTGGCAGTACCAGCTGCAACCCGGCGATCGAAGGGATCCGTGATCCGCTGAAGGGGCGATCTGTGTGGATTTACAAACGTTAGTAATGGGCTTATATAATTAGTGTTCTGGTGGCAGCCCAGCCAGTGTGAGATGGTCATGTTTGATATTTTTGTGGCGCACATGGAGAACAGATGGATCCTCTTCCAAGCAACTTGGATCATATAGACCCTAGGGCTCCAACCACATCCTCAGAAGCATGGTTAGATCTGACGCCGGCAAGCTGTGCTGATCTGGCACTCACTGCGGCCGTGCACCGGGTTGGTGTGCTTTCTTTTTTCGCTCGGCCATATGATGTTGGAAGGGAGGAGTGGGCTAGTTTTGAGCTGTTTTTTCACCCAGACCTGTCGCGAGTTTTTCTCCTCACCTGTTGCGGTCGACGCTCCGTTTCGGCACGCAGCCCTTGGTCCCTAAAAAAGGGGACCAGGAGTCACATGTCGGGGTGGGTGTTTGTCCTTAAGTCCTGAAGTGAGTGGAGAAGGGGCACCCCGTATCAGTGGAGAAGGGGCACCCCTATCCTCCGTTCGGACCTGGGCACTCCCTATGCCTCAAGGAGGGCTCACTCTCGATCGGGCACGAAGACCTCGGCTTTCCCCCATCCAAAAGCCCGGAGCTAAAGTGGAGCCGGGGCATGTCGCTCTCATGCGACCTCGGCTTTCCCCCATCGATTCTTTCCCCGGCTCCACTACAGCTCATGTGAGCTCGCCCTTTCCCCGGACCTGGCCCAGGTTTGGCAGCCCCTTGGAGAACCGAGGTGTCGGTGGGGCGGTGGGGGAAGGAGGTGTCGGCAGTCTCCCCCTTGGGTTTTGGTGTGTTCCGTTTTACTTTTTGCGGGGGGCGACATGGGTGGAGATGAGGGGACTTGTTGACTTGTTGGCTGGATGTTATGCACATAAATGTTATATATATATATATACAATTATACACGCCGATCCCCAACAATGAATGTATTGAATATATTTACCTACATGGACCCCTAAAGGATGCTCAAAACTTAAAACCACAATAAACCACCCTAATATATTATATATATACTGTATATATTACTAATTACTATACAGTAAATATTCCGTGATATGTGGATTGTTGCATTTGGGATGACTTTTTGGATCGAACGGATGATCAGACTAAGTGTGTCAAACTCTTTCCACCAAGTTTGTTCACACTTTCCTTTGGACCGAGGCCCGCACCAGCGAGACTCTTGGCTATGTGGTTTGAATGTTTTGTCATTCCATCAGAAGGGTCCCTGGTTGGGCATGGTTCGAGGAAGTTTACTCATAGTGTTTGGTTGTTTGAACCAGGCAGGCAGTTCAATTTTTTGTTGGAATTGCACAATAACTGAGAAGATTACCACGGAGCTTTCTTCGCCAAATCCCTTTGTTTGCTTTGCCGAGGCGTCACTGTTAGCTTGGGATAAGTCGCTTGGGATAGTTTGAATACACACGCAGCTGGCTTACCTGGGCTAGTGACTAGCACATGCTGGCACCAAAGCGAAGTCAAGGAACCCCGCGAGACACATTCAGACGACCCCCGTTGAACATTCTGCGCGTGGAGGCTGTTTCACATATTTCATCATATTTATACTTGTCATTGTATATGTGTCATTCATTATCTATCATTTTTTCTCTATACTGCCATATGTGTGCCACTTGTTCAGCTTCCACATATGTCGATGAATAACTTCATGCCTCTTGATGCATGTGTCCATGTTGTTCGCTTTCCTTATCCCAATGCCCACCGCCGGAAGAGAGAAGGAGAGAGAGGCAGCAAACCATGGCTTAAAACTATCACTCACAGCCAACTCCTACGAGCATAAGAGGCAAGTTTAAGGAGGACACTTGGATTAAGAACTAGTTTTCACGAGTTTTTTGCTTCACAGAACTCCCTTGCATCTTCTCTCCGCCCAGGACAGGTAGCTTGGGTTTGGTCATCGCCCGCTGCAACGAGACGAACCAGGCGAGAAAACCTGCGAGCGATGTCTCGATGCCCGGGGGGGATAGAAGGGGCAGGTTGCTTGCAGCGTGTGGGCGACTGCAGCGTCGGCAGGAGCAACAGTGGAGCTTACTTCCATCGGGTTTCCTTCAGCATCGGAAGACTCGCATGTGTGTGGGGGGCCTCAGCTTCGTTTTTGCGTGTGGTGAGTTGTTCTATGTCATTCTATGATTGTGTGTGTTTCTTTTTTAAAATGTGGGTTTGGATGCAGGCCGTGATTCATTCCCATCAAGATGTTCCTTCTCCAGCACCTTTCAGCCCAGGTATGCCTCCAGATGGCGGGCATACCTGCGGGCATTGTTTCATGAATCAGAAGGTCTTCCAGCCCCCTGGGCAAGTCTGTTCCGCCATATTGCCGTTTGGAATTTCCAGAGCCTCCAGGAAAACTCCTGGCAAATCCTGGTGACCTGCCCATCGCACAGGTCAACGTGGATGGTACCCCTGGCGAGGCGCTTGCGACAATTGGGCTGGGTGCTGTTTACTTTGGATAAATAGTGAAAACAAACAAATTATGTAGATCTCTGATTGGTGGAGCTGCTGAAGTGCCAATGAATGGAAGCCTTTTGACCCCCGGTTCCAAAAAAGCCTCGCGCCGGGCTCTCCGTTCTTTCGCGGAGCGGTCTGCCAGGGCGTGGGAAGCTCTATCAACCTGGCACCCTGTGAGATGGAGGAGCGGTGTGAAGCGGTGCGAAGCAGTCGGACATGCACGTGGAGGAAACTTGTGGAGATGGATTTGGGGCATATATATTACAATTTTTGTTGAGCAAGTTTGCACGACCAATGCTCAGCAGCGACATGGAGCTCCATGTATATAATTGGCAAAGGTGCAACCAGCAGGTAGGTATGAAGGGCTCAACTTGACTCGGTTGAGCTTGTGAGCCCATCTGACCATCACACTCCCACGCAGTTTTGGCGCCGTACGCCATTTGTTCCTTCCAACTCAATGTCAAAAGGGTCCTCCCAAAAGTTGGGGTTGAACAAGCATCTCCTACCCTTTTGACCCATTTTGGTCACCTCGGGAAGCTGCTCGCTTCTCTTTGCGGTCTCTGAGGAGGTGGAAGCTCCAGGTCTTTGGACACTCACCCCTCAAGGCGACCCGGTCGGCGACGGCGACGGCGGGGACGGACCTGGATGGGGAAGAGAAGGGCAGTGGCGCTCACTCGTGGTGCTCTTCAAGATGCTATTCGTTGGACCGCGAGATGCTCTGGCCAATGTCCTTCACCAGCCAGGTGTTTGTGGATATTGAATTGTGCTAAGTGCGACACAGGTGCATGAAGCGGTCATTTCTTGAGCCAAAGACGAAGCCCAAAGTCGTGGGCGTGTACACAAACGGGCGTTGCCCAACGATGCCCTAAAGGCATTCAAGCATATTCAGAGAATCTGAGAGTACACAAACGGGCGTTGCCCAACGATGCCCTAAAGGCATTCCAGCATATTCAGAGAATCTGAAAGCGAAAGCAAAGCTCGGTGGCCTTGCTAGACTGCTTTGCTAGTCAGTCTTTCATTCACACATCACACTCCCCCCACTGCAGCGCGCAGTGCTATGGAGTTTCAACCTTGGAAAAACTGCCATCGGAATCTTCTTCGTTCCGAACATCTAAATTCAACCGCTTCTCACCTGCCTCACTAGGTTCCCGAACTCGATTAAGAGAAGGATCCACAAAAGCGCTAGTCAGCACCCCACCGGCCAACGCGGCCTCCCCCCGAGCACGAGCACCTTGAAGTCGGCGTTGATATCCAGCATGATCGGCCAAAGCAAAAAACTCTCCCCGCCCCTCATCGAGCCGAGGCACACTTGAGCTCTCTACAGCAGCTGGTCCAGCAGGGGTGTCTGTTCCCGTCGGCCGCATGCGAAAAAAGGCATATCCTCTCCATTGGCCTGTTGGGACCATCACCGATCTCTGGCCTGTACTCCATTCGTCATGAAGCATGCGTGGAGCGCCATCAGACGGCCACCAAAGCGTATGCCTCTCGGGAAGAAGGTCCATCACATTGAACGGCGTGCTGCGGTGTACTGGGTGGTAGGTATTGACTCTGGGAGCACTCAAAGTTCGAACCCACCAGCCACTGCCTAGATCTTCCCATTTGTCTTTTCCTCTGGGCCACTCACGAAAGCGAAGGCTCATCCAAGGTCCTTCACCGAAGTCGCACCACGGAGCATCACCAGCTCCAGCGCCGCCGCTCGCCGAAGACATCCTCAATGCCGCCATGCGAAAGCCGCCATCGCATTGAACCCTCGCGCCGGCTACCGGGGAGCCCGTGGGGCTAAGGTCATGGGTGGAATTGAGAGTGGGTTCATTTTCCCTCACTCCATCTTGATTCTTCTTTCTTTTGTGTTCTTGGTGTGTCTTACAGGTCTCTGACACACGCTTCTGCCCATTGGTTTTTCTTTTGAGATCATCACAACAGCTCCTAGCTACCCAGGCTACTCCTGCACTAAGCGCCGCGATGCCTAAGCTTCGAGCGAATTGAACCGTGTCTCCGACAGGAGTCCAGGCCGCCAGGCCAGCTAAGCTAGCTACAATTGCTGCGAGCTTGGCCACTTTGGACCGGTGGTCTACGCCCTCATCACGCTTCTCGCTGCGCATCCTGAGTCCTGCAAAAGCTCGAAACCGGTCCCATGCAGTCGCACTAGCAATGGGCTTGGTGAGCAAATCAACTGCTAGTTGAGCTCCAGGAATATGGTTGGTTCGCCAACAGCCAGTTCTGATGCGCTCCCTCAAGACGAAACTTCTAAGCCTCAAGTGGCGAGTTCGCCAAGCTCCGTCAGGAGCATGCAGCAAACGAAGACCTGACTGCGAATCACCATGAAGTGTGCAGCCACCCACGCTGTCCATGTCTCCATTCTCAAGGATACCAGCTACTGCTGCACAAGACTCTCCCATGGTCAAAGCATCAGTGTATGCTAGCAACTCGGATTCTGAACTTGAAAGGGTGCCAAATGCTTGTTGCTTGCTCTCCCACTGAACCGGACAACCAGCGTACATTGCAACCAAACCTTGGTGGCCTCGAGATCCAGGGGGTCCAAACGAAGCGTCCGAAAAAACGTTGATGCCATGAACATGCTCCAAAGTCGAACCACTCTCTAACGAAGCACGACTGGTATAAAGCAAGCCCAACCTCTGCGTTGACGAGAGAAAACCCAGGACCTGCCGACCATAATGCATCACTCTATTTGGGCACCTTGCCACATGGCGACCAAGCCAAGCAACTGCGTACGAGATGTCCAATCTCGTTCGAACTGCTAACCAGAGCAGTTCTCCAACTACAGTTTGAGCTCTACGAACTGCACTGATTTCAATGTTGGACTCTTCGGAGTCGTCCAAAACACCTGGCAAAGGGCAGTTCGCTGGCTTCACATCAGAGTATCGAGCCAACAAGTCGCCCAAGTAGGACTGCTGATGAAGAAGAAGATCAGGTCCTTGACGAGAAAGCTCAAAGCCACAAAAACGCAAGGATGCAGACTCTTCCTCCGTCAACCACTCGGGAGTCGAACACGTCCACTGCTGCTGGAACCGTTGAATCACAGATTCAGCAATGGCATGCTCCCCCGTGACCAGGATGTCATCGACGTACACAGCAACATATGCATATGCCTTGTCTTCTCGATTCGCCTGCTCAGGGCGGTCCAAAACAACCTTCCACAGATTTGGTTCTGTCGTTCGCATCAGCCTCCAGTCGGCGCCCTGACATGACCAGCGAAATTTTGACATTTCCTCGTCTCTAAAGATCGACCAGTTCAATGGGGCCTCCTGAAGACCGTACAGGGAGTTTTTGACCTCCCAGATTTCGTTGGGCTTGCAGACCTTTGCTTCGATGAACACCTTCGGAGGACGAGTGAGCAAAAGTCTCTGTTGACTGTCCCTGCGAGGGGCTAGAAGGAAAGCAGTCTTGACGTCCAGGCTTGCCACTGACCAGGATTCCAAGGCGCTTTTGCGCAACAATGTTCGCAGCGCTGTCCCGTCTGCTCCACCTGCATACAAAGAGAATGGAGCGTTGGACTGTTGAGCCGTCAGGGGATCGACAGCCTTGTCACCATCTGGGCGGAACAAGTGATTTCCGCAAATCACCACTCGAGCGCGGTGACGGCCGTGGGGACTCTTCACTGTCGGCACAAGCATGGCAGGCGCTTCTTCCCGAAGAGGATATCTAGGATCATCCTTGAGAGCATCTTCTGTAGTGGGATTGATCGCACCTGTATTGCTAGTGAGCGACTGATATTCATCTTTGAAAGGCTCAACCCACTTGTGCAGCTCCTTCCGCACCTGAGCCAATGACACCGTATATGTCTGAAGCACGGTGGTTGGTTTCTCAGTACTTGATGGCGGACTCTCCTCTGCAGGCTCCGTCGTCGCCATTTCATTGAAGCCAACCTCCAGCGCTCAATCACCTCATGCTGCTGAGTCAAACACTCTTCTTGCAGCCTCAACTGATTTTCCACATGCTCCATCCAACGTCCATGTTCACCACCCCAATGATGCCCCACCGGAACTTCGTTCAGCTTTTCCAGCCACATCTGCTTCAGTGTCCAGTGCTGTTGAATTTCCTCTTCATGACATTGGAGTGCACTCGACCAAGAAAAAGGCTCACCATCACCCTCAGAGTCCTCACCTGCTTCCAGCTGAGGCACCGCAAAGGCAACTGCTTGGTCTTGATCTCCCAGCGACAAATCATCCGGAATCAAGCAAAAGTCTGCGAGCGACTCCCCCCCCAGCTCGAAGGTGAGTCAGCGAAGCGAGAGCTGGTCTGAGCTCCCCCGGAACCTGAGCAGCCTCGTAGAGTGAAGGAATCACATCCTCCAAGGGGTGTGGGTCAATGCCCTGTTTGCCAACCAAGCGACGACGGACATGTCCTTGGTCGATGGCATGAAGTTCTTGAGCAGCAATATCAGCCTCAGGCGAAGGTTCAACAGCGGTGCGAACATGCTGCACCCGATCACCGTGACGAACAACCCATCCTGAGGACATCATGGGGCTAGGGCCCATCAACTGCATAGAAACGAAAGGCCGCACCAATTGACCAGCTTTATGCCAGCGCTTACTGCGCACAGTGACCATGCTCCCAAAACGAAGCATTGGTTTCGTGGGAATGCCCAAGCGACGAAGCTGGTTGCGAAGTCTCTCCTCCGAGGCATGTCGGAGGGCACCGGGCCATAGAGAAGACTCCAGCTGAGCTTGGTGCATCAAAAGCCTCATGCGACGCTTGACTTGTTGAATCTCACTCTCTGCACGGCCGTTGGCCTGGGGATCGTCGCCCTCAGTAAAGGTGTGATGGATTGATCGATGACCACACCACCGTGCCACCCTGGTAGAGAGAAAGCTCTTCTCCCTGTCACTATGCATGCGCATCACATTTATGCCCATGTAGCGAAACTTTGCGTGCGCACGAGAAAGTCCATCAAGGATGCAGTCAACGCTGCGAGCTTCAATGACCTCAAGCACGGTGACATTCTGGAGGTGATGAGGTCGTGCCAACTCTGCCACTTCGTCAGGTGATGGGTCAGCCAACGGAGGAGCTACCTCCCCCCGAGCCTCTATCGCTTCCTCCTCCAAAACACCAGCGGGACGGTCCTCCGCCAAAACACCTGCATGAGGTTCCTCCCCCGAAACGCCAGCATGAAGGCCCTCCTCCAAAACACCAGCACGAAGGTCCTCCTCCGAAACGCCAGCACGAGGGTCCTCCTC